AGCCTTACTCAAGAAGGAATTCCGTTCAATAGCGAATGCTGACTGAGTGCGGAGACGCTTGTACAAAAGACTCATTGTGAGACCGGTCATTCAAACTTTTGTTCAAATTTTCTTCAGAACGCGAGCCGCCCCGGTGTCGAATTGTGACCCGAATTGCCTGACACCTTTGATGAAGCTCCGAATGGTTGCCTTGAACGTGACCTGACGCCGCGCCGCAGGGAACGCCGGTTAATCATTCAGACTCCCAGGCAATAGAGTTCTGACTTCACGAAGATTCGTGCTCCGGACTCGGAGTTCTTCGCGGATATAATGTATATCTTCTATACCGTATAAACTAACAGGAGCCTGATTCCAGCATGCCGCGATGGCGGGATATTTTCGTAGCGGCCAGTGCACCATTGGAAATACCGAGTCTACATTCAGCTGGCCAGCTGAATCAAAGGTAGCCACGCGAATCTCAGTACGAATTATTCATGAGTAACGAAGCTGCCGCTGAAAAAAATCGGAGTCCGTCTCAGCCACACAGTCTTGCCCATCTTTTCCTCGTTCGTAGCGACCTCATCTTTTACCCGCAGCTGTTTATCCGTGAGTCCCCCTCACTTTCAAAGTTTCGTGTCCGTCCTGAGAAACCGCTACCAACTATACTGCGTATGAGCATACAAAGAAAACATTGAAACTTCGAGCGAGCAGGCGAGGTCTCACCGTCGCTGCGACAGATCGCGTTAGCTTATTAGAAATATTCTCACCGGGTCAATCGATATGGCCTTGATCCTCAATATGAACGAGAAACGCCGCTTTCGGAATACCTCGACAATCTTCTTCGAGATAATCTAGGGAAGCTCGAGCAGTTCGGGAATTCGAATTCGAGGAGATCGGAGGTTTTTCTCCATTTTTTCTGGAAGATAATGTTTTACCTTTTGCATCCGTCGCCAATGCGGTCAGGAAGATCACGGCCGGCCACGACCTCCGTAAAACGACAGTGGCCATTGATCGCGGTCTCATACGACACCACTGTATAGATGACAATCCACTTCTAGAACGGCAAACACATCTCACTCGATCCGTTCTCGTTCACCCGCACTAGCACAAGCCCCGATGGCACTCCGTCCTGCACTCGGATAAGAGATTCCGTCAGTACGTTTTATGCGGACGCTCACTCGATAAGCACTCCAAGCTTTTCGCTGACTCTGCTGCTGCGCTCTAACCCAGTCGAAGCCGCCTCACCGGCCACTGAGTTGAGATCGACTCAACACGTGGTGGAACTGCGCTAGGGGCCCACCACTCTCCCCAGGCCCTCTCCGAAGCACTGGAGGAGGGATACCGTGGGCATCTCGTTCCTCGATCTCGCTCGGCGCCGTAAGGCCTCCACCGAACGCCTGCCGAGCTCTTCGAGGCCGATTCCGCATACGAGTCCGACTGCAAAGCCGCTAATTGATTGAAAATTTGTATCGATGGTCCTCTTGAGATCCCCATCGAGTTCATGCGGACCCCCCTCGGGAGCGTCGATAACTTCGGCAGAAAACTCATAGATTGTCATTCCCTTCAGCGTCGGTAGGAGCGATATGGATTCTGAAACACTCCATGAATTCCCTCTCAACAGGGAAATCCGAACCGACGCCCGATGAATTTTTTGGGAAGCTCGGGACCACGCTGCAGAGTTCTTCGAAACTCTGCGTAGGACGTAGAGTATTTTTTGGTCCGGATATAATTCTGTACTCGATTCCTGTCCAGGATCGTCCGCCTGAGGAGCTGCTCCCGACCAGAGGTCTCCGAAAGTCAGGGGCACCGCGCTCTCTACTGCGCATTCACAGTGTGGGTTCTGGCATCCAGATGACGGTGGTAGGAATCATGTGTTCCCACGAGACTCAGGTATACGCGGAGTGGGAGAAATAGCAGCGAACTCGTGAGGTCTGCTCCTTCGACGGGACTGAGCGCCCTTGTGAGGGCGTCGAATGCGATTCCCGGCAATGGACCAACGTTCCACCTCGTGGACACCTTCCCTCGAGAAATTCAAATGGGCGGCTGAGATTCGGCAAGTCATTGCTTTCCTGATTTTTTCTAAGAATCGAGTCCAGTTGCTCCATCCCGCCGACAACGATGGTCCGCTTAGCGGAGTTTTGCTGACCACTGCATCGAAAAGATATGCTTCTAATTCTGCTGCTGTAGCGGGCAAATAAAAATGGTAAAGCGCCCCATCTATAAATCAGTCGTAGATCGAACGATACATTTACAGCTCTTGGATCGTAAATGGAGATATGAGCAAAGTATGCGATGGCTATACTCTTCCCCCTTTTCCTTCACTGTCGAAGAAAAGAGAACAGAAAATGTTGGATTAAGCGAGGGGAACCGCGTTCGTTTTGACCTCTCGATAATCTCGATGCCATGCCGCAGGATGCTCCACGCTGAAGAGCTTGCCCGACAATAATGGGAGGAGACCTTGTCGCCTCGTCCGAGAAAACGACTTGATCTTATTCTCTTACACAGCGGCTGAGGGGTCTTGGCCGACACTCTCCTCGGCTGATTGTGAAATTTATGCGAGTCACGTCAAACTGGCAGGACCTCGTTGACAATCGAACGCTGCAGAGGGACCGGTCATTTCACAGAATCGCGTTCAGGGCTCATCACGGCGTAAGACACTTCAACTAGTACGCAGAACCTCCCACTTTCGACCTTGTAACCGAAATAGGGGGATCAACAGTTGTCCAACGAGGGATCCTCGAGCCGATGCAGAGATCCGAGGAAGTGCACCGCGGGAGGCGTCGATCGTTGTACGATCGCGGGCCGAATCGATTGAGACACAGTATCCGTGACCGAGTCGATTATTTTTCCCTGCTCAATCGCTTCAGTCTCGGTCGATCGGGCTCGTCCTGGTCTTCTTCTTCTTCTTCTGAATGAATGAACAACCAGGAATCGCGATGAGAGGGAATCGTTTTTCCACAGGTAGGTTCCCCCTTTCCATTTGATGATCGCGCCGACCAGCGTTTGCATTTCCGATATTTGATCGCGAATTTCAGCAGCTCCATGCTGACTTTATGGGAGGATCGATAGCTGAAAATCGCGGGACTACTGACGGAGAAGCGCGCCGCTCCTCTCTGTGTCACCGCTGCGATACGAGCTCCTGGCGAAACTTCATTTCCGCGCTAGCTCCCGAGTCCAACTACACCAGGAGTTGTGCCGAACACTCAGAAGCTTTGTCGATCCCAAAGGAGCCGGATCCTTTGGAAACGTTATGTGAGCACCGATGCAACATGTTTTTGTCTCGAATCGGAGTTGGAGCATACGTAATTGCAAACAAGCTCGAGGAGCCTGCTCGCATGCAAAACCTGACGACAAAAAGCGCTCCGAACTTCTTTCGTCGAACGAAGCAAATACGGAGGTCCCTGGAATAAATACTAATGTACCTCATGGAGGTAAGCAATCATTCGTCTTCCATGACGCCTGCATTTCGGACAGGAGCAGGAGTATCTCCGAAATACTCGGAACTCCGGTCTCTCTCTCGGTTTGGTCGGTCGCCGAGCTCCTTTTCGCGCGTAATTAAGAGATGCATCCACGAGCCTCTACGGAGCTTCATTTCCATGTAGAGCGCTCGAGAGAAGGAGCAACAGAGCTGCTAAGAAGGTGAATCGTTGACTGCGCGGCCGCCGCCCCTGCTCGGCATACGAACTTCCATATATGATAAGCATGTAATCATGACTCGTGCTCTAAATTCTTTTGATGCTTTGACTCTCGAACCTTGGCTCAGTGGAGAGTAATCTAGGCGAGGCTTCCGACGCCTTCGGTTTTTTCCTCGTTCATGAGCTCCCGGGGTGACGATTCCTGATGGCAGGAGAGAACTTTCCACCGTCCGGCTACGAGGTTCCGCTCGCGACGCGGCGGCTGAGCGGAGAGGAGGACGGGCGTCCCCGAGTAATTTCAAGAGCGTCGCCGGATAGACGAGCGTTTATGCGCAACGAGAGTCTGCGAAAAATCGAGGAGCACGCATTTTAGCATCTGGACCATGGTGCTAAACAGGAGGGCTATCGAGACCAGAGCGCGGAACCGCGAAACGTGACCAAGCACCGAAGCTTCTATCGCAGAATGGACATGAGTTCGAAGCTCGACTGAGCATTCAGCGATAGCTTACACGGAGCATTACGAATGAGAAGCAGAACGCGAATCAAATCGCTTATGAGGCCATCGAAATTCGGGGCGAATCGATCGAGTCGCTGACATTCGGAGATTAATGACTGGGACTACTCCTGATCACCTGTCAGCGGTAGCTCCCCTCCAGCTTCTTTGTCCGGCCTCTAAGAGCATCGGAGGACCCGCTGCGACGGCAATGCGGCAATTTATCGGAGGAAGTGTGCTCATGATTTCTACTCTCTGGCTGTTCCCGACAGCCTCCGAGGGGAAAACAGGAAAAGGACAAGGAGAAAAGAGCGGGTAAAGAAGAGAATAATGAGAGGGAAGGATATTGTCTTCGCGGGCCACGGAGCACGCTCATGCTTCCGCGGATGCGAGCTGGCCGCGACTGATATGAAACAGTCATCCGGTCAACTTCCCGTCCCGGTCCGAGTCGGCCATCGCAAGCGAGGCCGCCGACCGCACCGCTCATGGTCTACGGCTGAGATCATCATCCTATCACAATACTGCAGCCGTCTGTTCATTTATACGTGCACCTCACCATTCAGAGGATCGCATCCAAGCCGATGGCATCTCCGACAGAGACTGATACCGCTTCGGTCGAAGCTGGTCTCATGCAAACGTTCACCGGTGGCGGCTCTACCCATAGCGAGAGGAGCTCCGACGACTGTTCATCCGTTCCGCAGAACAATAGGATGAAATTTTATCGCGGGAGCGATAAAAAGCGCCGTAGGTCGTCGAGCACGGCGAATAATCGAATAAGATTTTCTGCTCATTCGAGGAGATACCCAGAACTGGATCTCGACGGAATAGATGAGGTTCGATGAGCCCGGGAAATGCTTCATGAAAAGGAAGATAGGAGGGATGGTTTCAAGTTGCAAGGTGTTGTTTATTGCGATGGTTTTTTCCTTCCTGTCCAGCGGTATCAACGGCCAACGAATCATAAATACACGGCTAACAAACTACGAGCTCTTGGCGTGGAAAGCAGTGTCGTAAGCGGAGGCGTATACGGTCGAAAGCGGGGCGGCAGCGTACGAGACGGTCTTCCTAACGACGGGCGCGGAGTAGGAGATGGTCTTCTGCACGGTCGCTGGAGCGGCATACGTGGTGTGAGCACCAGGAGCGGCATACGTGGTGTAAGCAGCAGGAGCGGCGACGTACGCCGCTGGTGCACCGTAGGAGACGGTCTTCCTCTCGAACGCGGGGGCGGCGTACGAAACGGTCTTGTGGAGGGTGGCCGGAGCAGCGTACGAGACTGTTTTGTGGAGGGTGGCCGGGGCGGCGTACGTAGCGTAGGCAGCGGGGGCGGCTACGTAGGCAGCTGGTGCTACGTGTGAGATTGTCTTCCTCACGCTTACGGGAGCCGCGTATGTTGTAGCGACGGGGGCGGCGTCAAGGTATTGAACCTGAGGGCGGTTAGGGTTCTCTTCGAGAAGAATTTCGGCGGCTTGATCATTCGATTCGCTGTAGAACTCGACTTTGTCGGCCTCCTTGGCGGCACGAGTGATTTGGATGACACGGTCGGCCGGAGCGGCGGGCTTCTCGACGTCGAAGACTTGTTGGCCGGGCTGTTGAGACACAACGCGTTCGACGCGGGCAGCGGGCGCGGCGTGGTTGATCAATCGGATAGTGGAGGACGCTTCTGCGGGTGCGTTCACGCTCACGGTTTCAGGAGCTCGTTGAGCAGCTGCGTGGATTCGGATCAGCTGTTCGGGACGTTTATATTCTTCAACGCGAACGTTCCGTTGACGGTTGGTGATGTGCAGTTGGTGAACGGCTGGCTTGGCAACTTCCTGATGGACAGCAACGGGAGCAGCGACCGCGACTGTGTTATGAACAACGGGGGCGGCAAGCGAGATCGTCTTGTGGACGAGAGGGGCAGCGTGCGCAACAACGGTTGCGGGAGCAGAGTAGGAAACGGTCTTGTGAACAACGGGAGCGCTGATCGACGCAACAGCGGGAGCCGCGTACGAGTAGGTCTTCTGGTAAGCTGGCGCCGACAAGTAAGCGGTGGCCGGGGCAGCGTACGATACTTTCTGCAGCGTTGATGTCGGGGCGACGTAACCGGTCAGGGACTGACCCGTCAGCGAGTAGTCCACATAGGCGCCTGAAGCGACGGCCACGAGGGCGGTTAGAGCAACGAAACGGAAAGCCATGGTACGTAGCGACTCGAGCACCTCGAGAGAGTGCCTTTATAAGATCGGCTCTTTCCCTCGCTCATCACTGGCCTTCAACTCTGGTATCGCTCAACAAGCGACAAACTCACTCGACGACTTTTCGACCCGAGCCACCGACGGGGTTGCCCGCTGCAGCGTCTCTCTCATTCCGAGATACCGAACGGAAAAGGGGGCTCGGAACGAAATCCGCTCACGGAACTATCTTCCAACGAGCTGATCACTTCGAATAGAGCTCTAGAGCCCGGGATTCGATGTTTAGTCTCGGCGCTCGGCACTTATCGCGACACTTTGATCGAATGCGGGGAACCTCGTCGCAACAGGAGCCAAACCCAGCCTCAGGGACCAAACCCAAATGAAACTCTCCGAATCTCCACACCATGGACCTCCGAAATTCCATCAGGTTCTCCGAATGGAATTGGATTCTCGATTACTTGATTCTAGTCTTAGGAATGAAACCGCGGTTCCATTTTTCCTACGGAGGTTTTCCCCGGCAAGAGTCGTTGATCATTGGATGGGAAGGACAGATACTCATTGTCAGCACTTTCTAACGAAGCGATTGTTTGCCAGAAAAGGATTCCGTCGGAGACATGACCCCGAAGCGCTAGCCGGGGATCCACGGACCGAACTCTCTCACTGGATTGCGGGAGAAATCAGTGATATTTCGGATAGTGCTGAGAAGTGATGCGGCATCTATTCCGATCACGTATTCTCTTCAATCGGCACAGAACGAAACACAAAAAAACAAGTTGTTGACTCCGGCCGTGCATGCGCTCTCGTTTTGTTTGAGAGATTTATGCTTTCGTTTCTGCCGAGAACTGTATTATTTAACCATTGGCTCGTTGGATCGATATCAGAAAGGCGGAATGTATTCATTCTCTCTCGGATCTTCGATTCGCTGATAATGTCTGCGTTTGTTGCTCAGACCGGCGTCTTTCTCGATTCGATCAAACCACGAGTCCTGGGCGACTGCTAGAAACTGAGCCCAAACCTCCAGTTTGAACGGAAACCATTCACGGAGTTAAGTCACGAAGTGAAGTTACGGAGTGAAGCTACGAAGTGAAGTCACGGAGAGCAGATCAGAAGGGGGATACAGTTTGCCGAAGTAGCCCGGGGGAAGCAAAATCCCTGGAGCTGTGCATTGAAATCCATTCGCTAGCAGCGAGAACGTTTCATAACAAGCCGGGAATTCGGGTTGCCAGGAGTGCCGACGTAGAAGACAGTCGGTCGGCTTCGGTGGACCTGGGTCGTAAAGAAGCGGGAGCCTCCCGAGTGACTGAAGAGACAGCAATCTGTTGTTAGCCCGCTTCAAAGGAAGAACACGTAAAAGCGTATGAGCTGAAGGGAACATAGGTAGGAGGGGGATTCGATGCTTTTACAACCGGAACATTCCCCGAGAACTACGTACAGTACTGAGGTAGCCGAGGAGGAGTCGTCCTTTGTCGCGCCCCTCATCCTAAGGTCGTCCACATTTCTACCGCGAGCGTCCGAGAGAATAATGAACTTCTGTATCGGAACCAGATTAGCTTACGGGTGTCGTTCGCGCCTTCTGGAACCTCCCAGAACTGCCCGGGCCGCATTAATGTTCCTTTACGCTCCAGAGAGCATAAGATTTTTGTAAGTTTGACAGCTCATCGGGACTTGCTACAGCAAAAGCTTGCTTGAGAAAATGAAGGCCGCTGTGCTTTGTTCAGCGACCCTCATTCTTGCGGGCGTCACAGCGCATATGATTCCAGTTTCGGATGAGGCTCATAACGCTCTCCTTCGGCTGTTCAGTCAGGCAAGTATGCATCAGCATGGAGCAAACAAGTAACGCCGCGAGAGAGCGCGCTCCTCACCGAGGGGCCGTTGTTTGCATTCCGAAGTCATTAGCATGTGGTCGGCCGGTCCTCTTTCATGCATTCTGTTATTCACAAACCCAACAAGAAAAATCCCCATGCTCAGAGCGTTAACGGCTTGTCCCTCCTCCGAAGCTTCTTTCTAACCTCCTTCCGTTCCACGTGCGCGGTTCGAGTTCAGTCGAGCTAACGCATCCATTCCGTGTCTCTGGTCGACGGCTCTGGGCGCAGGCAGCTCGCCAGGACCGTGTGGAATGGACTCTCGCTGAGCTTCCCGATCTCTTCGAGTTTTTTTACTTTCTAGCCACCTCTCCAACAGGACGTAAGGACGCTCGGAATCTAGCTATTGTCTCTCTTCCGGCGACGGGTGCTGCTCAATACTAGGCCTATGGGTGGAGGCGACGCATCAAACGAGTTCTTCAGCATTGAGGCGTGATTTATTAACGCTCGAGCGTTTCTCTCGCTCTCTGTAGGAAAGCGCGAGATTCGAGCATGGACTTGAAAGAATTATTGAGAGGCATCGGCAGCTCTTCGAGAAGCTCGTCCATTGTTTGAAAGTCGTTTCTTTCAATATCTGGACTGGTGCGCGCACAAGCGCTTTGCCCCTCGATACGCCTGAGGCCGCTTCGGTGACGAGGAACAATAAAATCTTTCGCACGGAAAATGGCTTCGCGTGGGTCCCCATAGAGGAGCAACACGCTATGGGGGAATATTATATGGATATTTTGCAAAGGCGTCCGCTCTCACTCCGATAATCTCCGGGGTGCGGCTTTTGGTGCTGCAATCCATTCCGTATCCCACGCTGGCGAGCTCCAAGCGTGTGTCACTCTTCGGCTTGCCTCTGTGATAGATAAACGAGAGGAATATCGAGACTATCGCCTTGTTCCACTCCGCATGCTTCCCTATCGCAGAACCTTGCAGTCTCCTATCGTGAGGTAAATCGATCGTCTTCCGAATCTCCCCCCTGCTTCGATTCTCACATGACGCCCATCCGAATCGGAATCTATGCCGCCGGGTACCGTCAACTCATCACTAGGGGAACATCCGAGGACTTTGATGATTCTTATCTGGATTCGAGTTTTCAAGAGGGTTCCCCCCCCCCAGATCGCTCGCCGCGATCTGAGAATTCATCCCGGTAGTTTTCTCCGCCCGCGGTATTCCGCAGCCCCTCCGGATTCCCGATCGACCCGAATGACTGCAGAATTTCGCAGCTCTTGGCGCAGGCCGCCCAGGATCCACAGTCCTTCGAATCGATGAAGACATGAATACCGAGAGCGTAGCTTGCTCCGCCGCGCCGCACTCTGCGAGGCTATTGAGAGGGCTTTCTAGAAGAATGGTCGGAAGAAATCCTCCCGGGAACAGCAGTTCTTCCCAGCGGCGTACGCAGGGGGGGGGGGGGGCGTATAGCTCCCTCCCGGTTCTTTCGTAATGCTGTAGTACAGGAGCGAATTACCATACTGGATTTCAGCCCCATGCGGGGACCCGATCTAGCCTTCGCGGTTCCCCATAGACGCCCCATGTTGAGCTTGAACCGAAGTCATTGCGGTTTCAGGAACCACGGTTCTTCGGAAAGCCTGGTAGAGACACCCTAAGTCTTATCTCTGTAGCGCAGCGCCATCGCTCCAGGGCCGCCCGAGTGTTTCTTCGATCTGACTGATTGTGAGCTGACTCCTCCGGCTCCCTACGGATCCGGGACACCATCTGAGTCATACCCCGGAGGGAGATTTTGGGCATCGCTCACGACGTAATTACATTGGAGTTCTCATTCATTTTGAAACTATCAGGTCGTCAGAAGCCTACCCGCATCAAATCAGGTTTGAATCCAATGGATCAGTGCACCCATGTTGGACGCGAGCCGAAACGCAATCGGGGCTGTAAGTTTCTCTACGCTTCATCCTACTAGACCGCTATCCAGCACATCCTATGCTCTCTGGACTCCGAATCACGTCGGAAAGATCAGGTTGGGTTCCCGCGGCATAGACCATGGAGTCGTGAATTGATATCTTTCTCAGTGGTCCATCTTCGAAAATTTTCGAGCGCGGCACGAAACCACGTTGGGATGGATGGACCGCTTCAGATACGCTCCGAGCACAGGATTCAACATATTCCTTCCAATAGGATATCGGGATCTTCTCTTTCAAGCCTGAGCTCATTTGGTCCATCGAGAATCCTTCAATGATGGGGATGTCCGGCTCTCCCCTGATGACGGTATCGAGGATGGAATGTTCCTAAGTTCCAGCTAATATCACTAAAGACAAGCCTTGGTCGCGACAGAGTTTATTCACCGATCGCTCACAACTGCTAAATTAAGACAACTTATGATTCCGGCGAGCAAGTCGCGCCGAATGGAATCGGATAGAAATATATCACATTCAGAATTCTCAAGACCAGATTGGACGACGTAGATATATGTACAAAATTTTTCGCATCCATTCAAGGTCCCGCGATACGTCTGCAGCAACTTCGCGCAGGCACAATGAAGCAAATGTGGAAATGACGTCACTACTGCCTACATTTCCGCGAGGATTATGACCGAGACTTCTTGCAGTACAAGTATTCGAGAAAATCGCGGGGAGAACATTTAAATTACACCTGTCGGACCTAAAGTTGAAACACTTCTAGTTTCGCTCCCACCACCGAGGCAACAGCACTCCAGCACTAAGCGCTGAGACGGGAGTTGATGATGGTTGCCAGATTTTTCACCTGTGCGTTGCTGGAGCTCATCAAGGGTGGTATGATCATATGGAGACTATGGTGGTGCATATTATCCTTCACCTGACGTTCCTTGTTTATCTCGACGGATTTTTCGAGAGTTTTTTGCACGAACGTCAAAAGGAGGATCTGCGACTCAACAGTCAGCTCCTTCCGAAGGAAGAATGCGATGTTGCTGAACAGTGCATCCTCCATTGCGCGCATGAAGTGATGAGCTTTGGCCTGCTTCAAAAACTCCATATAGACTTCATTGGCTTTCGAGCGGAGTTTCGCGGAACCCCCTGATGCGCAGACGACGGCGTGATTCAATAACAAATGATTTTGAACCGCGTCGAGCATCGATGAGCCGTTTGCGATGCAGCGCAAAAGAACTTCCAAGGCCTCGCAGTGAAGGTCGCCGGGAGTCGTTCCTTCGATAATGGATCCAACGATGTTCAGGAGTCCCTGACAGACCATCCGGGAGTTCGTGTCCTCATCGTGACTGACCAAGCGCACCGATAGAGCCAGCGTCTCTCTCGTGCACATCCCTCTACAACCGGATGCATTCATGTTTAGATGGAACATCAGTCCACCAACCAAGCGTGTTGTCACAATGAATCTGAGGAGAGACAGCGAATCGGGAACGTTGAGAAGTTTCGCGGCCCGGAGACAGATTTTGGCCACCGTTCGACAGCGAGCTTTTGGATGATCCGCAATCAGTCCGAGCACCTCGAGAACTTCTTCAGGCGACAAGTTCACCCCTCCCCTATCGGAGAGGTTATTGATAGTATCGGCGAGCTCGTCCGCAGCAGTTGCCGAGAACCTTTTGAAGTTGAGGTCCGACCATCTGTTCAGTGGGAAGACATTCAGAACTACCCCTCTCAGAGCAGGTGGACCCTCCGTGGCTCGCAGCATGGAGCGGAAGACATCATCGGCGCACGAGACTCTTTCTGGGACCGCCAGAAAATTGTCTCGGAGAAAGATGAGCAAAACCTCCACCTGCTGGATGACTTTCGCTGAAGTATCCCCGCATCTGCACAGTGTCGGAACGGCCTCTGCGAGCGTTTGTGCGACCCCCTTCGTAACGCTGTCGACATTTGCCAAGAGGAGACTTCGCAGACGATCCAAAGCTCCGGCTTCCAATGCGACTTGGACTTCTGACGCGATCTTGAAGCGTTGGCCGAGGAGCGCTAAATCATTGACTATGGCCTCGGGTAAACCAGTGGTGAGACCTGAAAATCGGGGAATTGTTTTCTTTGAGTTCGCGAGTGGGTGCGAGTAGGACTCCGAGAAAGAGAGTCTTCCAATCGCTTCCATTAAGAGAGCTCCTCCTGAATAAGACGAAAATATAGCTCACCAAGCTCCAGGGATCGGAGGATTTGCATAGTTTGGCTCGAATCGGCCATGCTTCCAGTCTCGGTCGGGGGAACGGGTAAAAATTATTATAAAAACCGAGCGAACCTGTACCACGGGTTCGTTCGTGCGTTCGATGACACAATGACGCCTTCTCCGGAACAATCGCACATCGCCCGGGGACACATGGTGCTGGGTGCATGTCTGTGTCTGCAACGCGCCGCTAGGAAACATGCACGCGAGCCTCCGGGGGTCCACACCGTTTCCGCGACCGTCCCAAGATCGGGAAAGCCCCGGTCGTCGATGACTATTTCCGAATATATCGGATCCCGTGCAGTAATTATCCACTTCCCGGGTTCCATTCGGAAGGATCCGGGCGGGGTACTCTGAAAACGGGCTCCCTTGGAATCGAGAGTTCACGCCACGCATGACATGCCTGGGGCCGATCATTGATATTCTCGCTCGACTCCTTGGAGCGCGTCTGGCGACGCGCATTCTTCCGACGTGTTCACTCGACTGGGGTCGGAGGTTATCATGGAATGAAGGAGCAGCCCCACAGAGTGATTTCAGGGTATCTCAGGGGGATGCCTTTATGACTGAACCCAGAGTCTCAATGGAATCCGATCAGATCCTCCTTGTTTCAGTTTCAGAAGGTCAATCAGCAGCCACACAGATCATCATAATGCAGCTTACTAGATTCGATGAGGGGATAGAAATCCCTGTCTGAAGCCATGATCGTGTTTCATCGAAAGGATAGGCGCCTTGAGTCGATGCTCTGAGTTTTATTATTCAGACTTATATTAGAACGTTCCGACTGAGATATTTTTTCTCGAATAAAAGGCATGAAGAAGAACTCTGCTCATTCCGACTATTGAATGAAGTTAACCGCCGATAAGGATGATCACAATACAATATCGAAGCATCCTTCGTTGGGAGGGCTCTCGAATGAGCCGTTGAGCAGCGAATGAACTCGAACAAGTTTACATGTGAACGTCCTCTGAGCAGTTTGCAGAATCGAAGCCGTATCTCGGAGCAACAATTTGAAACCACGGAGCCGAATCCCGACTACGCTAATGCTCCGCGATCAAGCTTTGGAGATCACAGTTTTTTCATCCGCTGGGCCATTCGAGGAATCCAAGGTGAAAGCCATGTAGTTGTAGATACCGGTCGCGAGGCTTCGGATCTCCGTTTGTTCATGGAGTTTTAGCGACTCGCTTAGAGTCTTCACTCCATTCGCTTCCATCTGCCGATGAAGCTCAGTCAGCTTCAGAGGATCATGGAGACGCGTTGCGCTGACCAAAGCGAACAACGCGCGCAAACCATCGAGAACTACGTCCGGAATCCGCGAGCGTAACAGGTTAGCCAGGAGCGCGACACAACCGATCTCGACGAGCGAGAAGATCTGTCGGGGAGTGGCTCGCGCGAAAAGATTCGACAGAGCTCTATGGGATTCTTCCCTGATTCTTTCGTCGAAGCTTTCCCGGAGGAAGAGGAGGGGTTTCGCGAGATCGGCTCTCAGCGCGTGATCCAAGACTTCGTGCGAACACGCGAAAATGTTCGTAAGAGCTCTGCAGGTGAGCTCCACATCCTTAGATTGATTTTCTTTCAAGCAAGCGAGTAAAACATTCAGTATTCCTTGATCGATCAGCTCCTTGCAATGGTTGTTCGAAGAAGCGAGGCAATCGACGAACAGAGCAAGCATGGGATTGAGACATTTCCGCTGGCAATTTACGTTTGTCATGACGTGCCTAACCAGGGTATCGGCGAGACGGGAGCTCAGAATCACGCCGAAGAAATCTTCTCTCTCGAACTCTACAGCGGCTCCCTTGAACGACCCGCATATTTCGATCACCATCTCACACGTGACTCCGGTGTAGGACAACGTCTTCTTGTAGATGTTCAGGACTGTTTCGAACAGGGGTGAACGACTTCTACCCTGCAGGAGGATTGCCCTCATGAGCCTGACATATGACATCAGAACCGTCGATGGCATGTGGTAAACGTCGAAGTCTTTGAGGTACTCGACGGGGTAGACGACCAGGAACGTCTCCCTGAATGCCTTGCCGTAGGAACACCACTGAGTGAGCGCATCGAGAGCCTCCTTGAACAGGTCCGACCTCGATGCATCGCGCAACACTTCGGCTTTGAAGAACGCGAGCAAGTCTTTCACCAGCTCGTAATTGTCGGCAGCGAGCTCATTATCTTTGAAGCTCAAGAGACTGTCGGCGTAGATAAGGAGCGCTTCTCGCCGCAGCTTCACGTAGCCGCTCGACAGGCATTTTTGGCAGAGGTCTTCGAGCTTGGAATTCAGAGCAAGCCTCAACGCCAGGGGCTCCCGGACGGCCTTACGGATATTTTCGAGACACTCCAGCACTTTTTTCGTATCATCAGCTTCGAGCGCTGGAACGAATGGCGACTCATCACGAAAGGTTCACTTTATTCTTGTTGCTCAGGGAACGCGAACGTTCTATGATTGACAGAGGACGCTATAGTCTGACTTTGCGATTAGTATCGTCCGGATATCGACTGTGGTGAGGCACTAGGGAGACATACCTTCGAGAGCAGCTCCGATATTTTCAACTGGCATATTGGCGGACTTAGCGGGAAATCTCTCGACCGGGAACACCGAGCACAATTCGGTCGCCAAGTTCGACGGGATGCCTCACGCGCGTGACACGGCGAGTGTCGTCGTCCACTCGAGTCCAACGTGCAATGTTGTCTGAAATATCAGAGAAGCAATCGGCATATGCAGAGTGTTCACCTCAATGGGAGATGTCGAGCTCCTTTCCTCATCGCTGACCCATTGGGCATACCCCGACTGGGAGTGCCTGCGACGATGCGCAACTCGGTGAGGCGATGTCCGAGCGAGTCGCCTAGGTTCCTGTTCTCCATAAGAGAGAGCCTCCAGGGAGAGTCGGATCCCGAATCGATTTCGAGTCATAATAGAGGTCTGAGTTCCCCGCGAAGGAAATTGATGAGATCAATCCTCGATGACAATATGGAAACTTTTATTATCGTAGGGAATTCCAGGAAGCAGACCACGAATCGAAATTAAAAATAGAGTCATTCCACTACCAGAATTGACTCAGCTTCCGGAGGAACACCAGGAACGGGAACAAACTCGTTTTAAAAAATCCTCATTCCACAAGGAATGCGTCGAATCGATCCGATATGCTGCTGATCTTCATCTTGAAAACATGATATGATGATGTGAGCATGGATGCTCACAGCCGCGTACCTATGCTCTCGATCAGAGTGATAAATTAAGCTCCATGAAGGAAACATATAAATATAAGGGAAATAGAGTTCAGGATTCAAGACACAATTTCCCTCACTCTCCCTTGTCTGCAAGATAAAAAATCTTCTTTCTGCCTGCGCAGTTCCATTGAAAAATCACAACTAACGGGTAAAAGCAGAGTTGCTGGCATGTAGCGCGCTGGTTCCACGGAGACTCTCAATCGAATCCCTCTATCTGCTCCGGTTAATTAAATCTCCTTCCTTTCTCCAACGGTCTTGATCCGTGGGCTTCGACGCTCTAGACTCCTGGAGTCGGGCAATCACGATTTGCGCAGCTTCTGAAACGGGAGAGCGCTCATCGTCGATCAACGCTCTAAGTAACCGAAATGCGTTGGACCGCGCGACGATCTGTTGGAAGTTCGGGAGGAACGAGGGGTCATCTGCTGCGTGCATCTTCTGGGTTAGAGCGAAGAGCCACCTGACGGCATTGCCGGTGACTTGCTCGTGTCTACTCTTCAAGAGTTCGACCAGTTCGGCAACGAGACCTTCGCTTGAGGCACGGTACAGCTGCTCGCTATCAGCCCGCGCAAAGAACGTGTCCATGGTTCTGACAGCTACTTTCTCGAGGTAGAGCCCCCACAGTTTTGGTTCGACTCTCCTAAGAACGATCAAGTGTAGCCTCGATCTTATAACATGATCAATGTAGAGAGTACCCGGACCGGAGCAGATGGAGTTGACTAGGCTCATGAGGAGACATAGGAGACGTCCGTCGCGATCGTGGAACAAATTCGCGATTCTCGGGAAGACATCGAGGGTGACCAATAGACCCGTCGTAGCTACGTCAGCATGGTCGAAGGTTGCCTTGATGAGCTCCGTGACCACAAATCGACACGAGCCGCAGGGCGAATATATCGTGCCATGTTTGAACGCCCTGGTATATATTTTTGTAGACCGAACATATTCGAAGTCCTCCGCCGGCTGTTGGCCCTGAGCGATGCGAGGTAGGAGTTTGGAGAGAACGGGACAAATTTCTTTGATGAAACCACAGCCGCGCTGAAGTTCACAAACTCGGCCGAGGAACAACGCCACACCTGGCATCAAGGGGTCTCGTGTGCTATTCCATGATAGTTTCACTTCGGTGATCTTAATGAGGTCTCTGAGAGCGTCCCTTCCGAACCTTTGGAGCGGAAACGTGTGGAACGCCGACACTCGCACAGCTCGTAGAGCTCTGAATCGATGATAGCCGCCCTTGTCGCACAATTCGCGGAGGTGTCGAGCAGCCCTCGAGTAAAGGCCGCAGTTTTTCGAGTGTCGGAAGACGATGTTCTGGTAGAATGTGAGGATCTTCTCGAGATATGCGTCCACTCTGCCCCCATCAGCCAAGGCGGCGAATATGTTCGCGAGATCTCGCATGAAGTCCAACGTCATTGACTGAATTGAATTCTTCTGGTATCCGTAAACCTCCGCCGCAACATCATTGATCGTCTCGAGGTCGCTCTCGCTGAGGAAGAAGGTGTGTTTCGTCGTGTCCAGAACTCGACTGAAGAGCTCTTTGATATCTTGTGTGGACTTCGGAGTCTCTACTGTAAACCGAATTGGGACTAAATCGAAGAATCAATTGAATCGACCCCAGATGATGCGGGAGTCTGGTGCTCCGGTCCTCAAGATGCCATACATCTCTGAGCGTAACGCGTCATCTTCGATACTTACAGAACGGAAACCTGTGTAGCTCCTTAGACATGGCGTCATAGCGGAATAACCAATCAGGTCCTATACATCTATTGGCTTTGTATCTCTTAGGAGGGGTCGCGTCTGAGATTGCGATCGAGTCACGATCCTCACTGTCACTGTCACTGGAATCAGCGCGCATGGTGGACAAAGGCGGCTCCGGTTACTCCGTGATGATGCGACCTCGGCTCGATCGAGAGGACTGTCATATGGACGGGGAATATGCACGTGCACGCATTGACTTGGTCGCTTGCTCAATTCGGCCTTTGCAAGGTTCTCCGACAAGCGCCTCCATCGGATCGATCACGTCGGAGTTTTCCGGGAATTCTAGGGAACGACCCGTCTCCCTGCAAAGGAAGTAATCCCTCCACGGGAGGGATTGTATATCAGCGCGCTCTACATAGTCCATAGTAGATACCGGAATCGTCGATTGCGCATGAAAAATAGATACACACTCGCAAGTGTGCTCACCGGGTTACCGAATTCGCCCATCGAGCATTTCCTGACGCGGAAATTCCAGTACAGCGATATGCGATTACGATATCACCCCTGTCTCAAGCGCTGGGCACAGCGCTGGATATGGAGAATTGAAGAATTGCGACCGGAAATCGTCCGATTCGCAAGGGAAATCTTCCCCGCCGGAGATTGAGAGAGAGCTACTCAATCTGCGAAATTCGGGACGAGTTTGAGGACATAAGGAATATGAGATTCTGCACAGCGATTTTTGAGCTCGCCGATGGAAGTCTGGAAGGGTCCAAGTGAGCTCACGAACTAACCGAGCCGCTCACGCGCTAGCCAGTTGCTTACGAAGTCGTCGAGCATACAACGCCTCGAGGCATACTCCGGACATGATTAGGAGTTTGCGAAATTCAGTAAGAGCTTGAGAGAGAATCAAAGGGGAGTGTATTATTTCGAGTTGAATCCTTACAATGTGTCTATAGAGCCAGACGGTTCCCGTTCCTGTCAAAGCATATTCTTATACATATTCCTCATCTCCCTTCGGTGATTTCATCTATAAATTAGAAAATCTTCAGCAATCACAACCATGACTTGTGGACTGCGCCGCTTCAATGACTTTCAGTCCCCGGAGCGAACACCTCAAAACGAACTCTCGTGCTCAATGTCCTCCTCCGCGAATTCTTCGCGGAAGTACTTTTCGAAGAACTTCTGGCTAATCGATGCGATCCTCTCGTTCCCGTGGGAGGCCATTCTGGAGAACAGATTCGGGATTTCGTTGTTCAACATCTCCTGTAGGATGTAGGAGTCGATTTCTGCCTTCCGTGCGCTAATCATCATGGCAGAACAGAATTGAATCGCTTCGAAGATGACATCGGAATTTCGCGAGAGGAGCAGAACCAGCAGAGCTTCGATGAGTCCGAGTCTGACCGCTTGATACCAATGGCCGAAATTCGCTCGTTGTACAAAAATGTCCAGAACTACGCGGGCCTCCCGTCGGATATGCGCTTCGGAATCTGACAGCAAAATGAGTACCGGAGAGAGCAAATTGTAGTGTACGACGAGAGATATCAGGTTTTGCGATTCACAAAGAAGCTCGCTGAGAATTCGGCAAACCTTTGTGCTTTGCTCTAAACTACGCTCATACATGATAGTGTGCAGAGCTTCGAGTCCATGATTTCCGATGAAAATCAAGTTTGCATTTTTGATCGCGGACACTCTCGATATGAGCAGAACATACGCGGCGGAACAAGCATCGCTGCAGTCAGGCGCAGCGACGTGTTTAGATAAGCGATCAATCAGTCTCGGGAATTCCCTTGAATTAAGCAAATTTTCGTTGATCAGCGGAACCACGATTGCCGATGAGGTTTCGCAGATTGCTTCTGCGATACCACAGCAGATCTCAGAGGGAGCGACGATTCTCTCCAATATATTCAAGAGCGAGGAGGCGTGTTTCACATCAGGAATCCCAGGAGAAACAATTGATCGGATCGCCAGTACGAAGTCTAATTTAGCATCGAATGATAAATTTCCAAATCCAATCCCTTCGATAGTCGAAAGACATCCGATTCTTAGAAACTCGTCTCTCAAGATCGAGCACGAGCCGCATGAAAGGCCAACAGTCTTGAGGAATACACATGCTAAGCTCGATGCTGGTTTCTTGATTTCGACGGAGTCCCGCGCGAGCTCGAGGAGCCACCTCATGGATTGCAGAGAGTCTTGGGGGGCATCCTCCGTATTCAGGTTAAGGAGGCAGTCCATGACGATCTCGAACGCGCACTCCCCCACTTCTCCGTATCTGTGATTCGAAGACGCTGCCAGCAATTCGAGCAGTCCTCGACTAGTGGCCAACTTCCATGCTGAGGAAGTGGTGACACAGAGAGCGAGATTTCTCAGGATCGTAACGATGTCTCCGGCGGGCTTCGTTGTGAGTCCTGAAAGCATGGAACTCTTCACGATGTCTCTGGGATAGGAGAAGGCAAAACTATCATAAGCTGCGTCTCACTCGTTACTTGCCAGCTCTCAGAGATAGGATTAGTCGAGGTATCTCGTTTTCCGGTGTTTCCGTCTGGACTTCCGGCAGTTCCTCGCACATGAGCTTCGCTCGCGGCGAACCCATCTCATCGGATTCGATTCCTTCACCAACAAATGAATCGCAGTCGACCCCTGAACGGAACTGCCGCGTAGCCTCTATCGCATAGATTGCATTCCTCAGCTGAATTCCTCGGGTGAACGTCGCGTCGAGCTCCTGATAGCGGTGGCGACTGAGATGAGTGATGAAACATCCACATGTCAGATAGAGGGATCTGTTGGTACAAGGCACGTTTTCAACATCGCCCGACCTCATATTCTCGAATCGACAGAGTTCCCTTTTTGAAACCCATGCTGGCACGCCTGCCCCCCTCCACCTCCACGCAGGGTTCGGTCGGGGCTAAAATTTATATAGAATGGATCGCCCGAGGAAGACTAAAAAAATATCTCCGATAGCTTATTTGACTGCATGCTCGATGGCAACCTCATTTTTTCTGTTCTGAACAAAGACGATGTATAAGGCATGAGGCGCGCCGTCTAGGTACGAAGAGTCTCAAGCGAATTTCGCTGTCACAGCTACAACCTGCAATCTACAATAATTATGAAGTTTATTATTACTTCATTCTTACCCATGAAGTTTCTCGCACCTCCTCGCTAGGTGTTGCGAGGGTCGATTTGCAGTCCAGTAATCAGCGGGTCTTATAGTGGCGGGCAGAAACCTTTCTCTCTCGGGGACTTCAGTCAGATGATGGCTCTTTCTCACCGTCGGTGTCTCCGTGCTCATCCAATGAATTCATCGCCCAAAATCTACACGTATCCGATGCGACCGGGTGGATTTGCTCCCTGGATTCATTCGCTGGAGCAATAATTGGTCGGTGATGTCCGAGGAAAATCGGCTCCTTTCGGTCTCGAGAAGAGCCAGCCCAGAGGAATGATTGGTCTGCAGGAGGCGCACAAGAGTCGGTTTCTCAGCCGAGCGGACCGATAGTTGAAGAAGAGATGAAACTTCCGGTGTCATCATTGCTTCAGAGCAAGTCGTATTGTCCAACTGTGTCCTCCATCAAAGTACATTACGACTTCCCGGCGCTGACGGCGCCGTAGCCGTCGCGTTAAGTCGGAAAAATCGCCAGCTGCAAGGGTAATTGAGCATGCATCGAAGTCTAATTATTGATAACCTTTGAAACGCCTTTATTATCAAACCCCTATCTTTCCACCAGGGAAGAGATTATCGGCCGCGTTTCACCTGCGGAGGGGAAGTCAGCTCGAGAGATTGAGTTTCTTCGGACTCGATGGTTGACGACCGCGCATTGATGAAGTCCGGTGAATTATCCGCTACAAAGGTATTCGCTTCTACCAGGTATCATTCAATCATTTCTTTCCGCTGCGCGCTGGATTTGTACCAAATCCTCCAGATACACTGTGAGTTTTGAGGCAGGCCCGGCGATTGCGAGACGGCATGGGGTATGAGCCAGGGGACGAGACAACGGAGGACGCGAACGTACTCTTCCACAAGGATAGCCTCAACCCACACACTAGGCAGTGCTTCAGCGTCCTCACGTTTGACCGACAAGTGGTCGGCGACCACACATGGGTGAAGCTGATCAGAGCGGGCAGTCATCCTAAGATTCATAGATCGCGCCGGCAGGTCCCGTTTACTCGAGAGTAAGTCGAGAGTAAATATTATCAGCTTCTTGTCGCTCCCGTCAGGGCGACGCCGACGTCTCCCGGACACCGATGGAGGGAAGCAGTCAGAGCTTCTGATCTTTGAGCTTTGAAATTACCGAGAAGGTCGTTGTATATATTTTATTAATGATTTAGGTGATGGTAAAATCGCTTATGGAATGTGAAATCGGGACCGAAGAAATGAGTACGAAGCACTACGCGAGGATCCATGGAAGGTGCGAAACAATAAAATCAACAATAACAGAATGAGTTCGAATTAGGAGCGATCAGCCAGATGTGGGGCTCCCCTGAGACCCTTGGTTCGCCTGCTTCGACTGAATGCGCCGGGAAGCCTCCAAAATGGACCTCAGCTGTTCGTTCAGCTGGTCGTTCTGTTCTTCCAATTTGTCCAAGGCCTCATTGATATTGTCCAGAGCATCGTTGACGGCCGAGAATTCTGGGAAGCCAAAGAGGGTATCGTTACGAGGTCATCGTGCACGAATACATCCGCCATGAGAACAGCACGAGCTGGACGATACAACGCACAGTAGGACGTTTTCTGAGAGCTAGAAATTTGACTGAAACCACGCAGACGCTTCGAACGCGCGAGTCAGATGACTATGCAGCGCCCCGACGAGTCATATGATGCAGGTTGCGAATTGTAAAGCAAGAGCTCCGCTTACCTCTCTCGTCTTCGAGCTCAACGTTGTCGATTTCAGCTTCGTCTGCATCCTCCTCTTCGTCCATCTCTTCGTCCTCGATTTCTTCAGTTACGACGGCATCATCGACGTCTTGCTTTTCAGGCTCATCCCGATTCACCATTTTCGCGTTCCAACACTCAGCTGAAGGAAAAAACACCGTTCAAGAATGGGGCCTTTCCACAAGTTCTGCCCGCGCCGTCTTCTCCTGCACCACCACCAGAGATGACAGCTTCCTTCGTCAGCTTGTTCGTCGCTGCTGCACTTTCTTTGTGAATGAAGTCTCCTCCAGACTCATTCGACCGTCTGAGAGTTTCGAGCTCCAAATCGAACGTAAACAGCGGAGTTCCAGACGAATTTGAGAGCGAGAACGACAGGTCGGGGAGAGGGGAACAAGCGGCGCGGCGGCTGCAGCCTTCGCAGAGAGTGCCACCGCTCGCATCGGATATGTGAGTCAGAATCGTGGAGACAAATCTTATCATTATATCATTTTTATTCTGAGAAGAGAGCAAAGCCGAATCTCCCTATAGTAATGAGTTCCTTCTCTTCCTACTCTGATCCGCGGAGCTAACTCCGATATACAGCTCTGGATCATGAAACCAGTTCCAGCGAAGCGGAGCCCGCCCTCAAGAGTGAGTTCTCGAAGTTCTCAATCTGGAGAGTTCGGGGCTTGAGGGAGTCTGACGAGGAATCTCGGAATGTCTGCCTTTCGAGAGGAGTATCTCTGACTCCCTCGGAAGAATGGGGGAATCTAATCTAGTTGAGGTACGGCTGGGCATAGACTTCGGTCATCAAAATTAAGCTAGGCATGTGAGCACCAATATCTCGTAAGAACGCACCGCGCAGGACCGGCGAAGAAAAGCTCTTTGTAACGAATAGTCGCTGTGAGGAATGTTCTTCAAGTTTTTTTCCCAGTTGAGCCAGCCGGAGGGGACAAAGTGTTCGTGGCACTAGAAATTCTTCGTGAAGGCGTTCGCTGAACCGACATTCGCTGAGTCTCGCGTGAAGAATCAGCGTATTCATAAGGCATTCGTGGCGTTATCGACTGCAAACTATCCGTGAACTATGATCGAGGAACGTCTCTTCCATGGCGGAGCTAATGTTACCAAACGGGCTTCCTCGCAGCAAAGAACGGATGATACCAGGGGAGCATGTATTCGGCCTGCGGTACACGCGGCCGTGAAGGCCATATGCTCGATACATGTCCATTCCCGTTCCAAGGAGACAATAGCCGAATCAATCAGACGAAAGCACGCATGGATTAGAAAATGATATTCCGCGTACGAATTACGGATCCTGGAGTTCCACGAGATTTAAAGTCCCCTCGCGTCCTCGGTTCCAAGTTCAGAGAACCGTTCGTGTAGCATCGGTATTTCCCGTCAGGGGTTCCTGATCGAATCACGGAGCGAGACTCCTAAACACCCGGAGAATCTGCGACAGGGATAACACAGCGTCGTAGGAGTCGTTCGAGAACACGAGCTCGATCTCTTCCGAGCTCCCGATAGAATCTCTGGTTCTCCTCACTCTTGCAATTTTGCTTCGAATCCCGACTTCCTTCTTTCTCTGGGGTTTCCGTCAGATCAATTGCCCCGGATTCAGAGCGCGTAGGAACAATTGAAACCTCTCCCGTTGGGTGTGCTCAGCGATGGGATCTACGGCTCCCTGGCCCGGTTCTAGAGCTGCCAAGCTTCGGAGGGCGTTGGGGAACTTTTAATTCAGCGGAAAGTTCCGGAGCGCATCCTCCGCCATCTTGGCTCCCTGGCCAAGCGCGGAGCAGGACAGCGGGACCATACGGGTGCTTCTGGGTCAGCGTTGAGATCCACGAATCGGATCGTGAAGTCATCAATTATTCGAATATTTCCAAATCTCCCTCACTATTGGGTACCGCTCTGAGGCCAGCTGATCTAAAAAGGGCTTCGATTCGGCCAAAAAGTTTAGCTCGTCACCGGAGTAGAGCGGCGCATCCGAACGGACTCCCATGCACAGATACGGAAGCGGGAAACTGAGCTCCTATTCCGCTCTAGGAGAGCCTAATTTGAAACGGGAGATTGGAGGGACTTTGTTTTGTGTGACTGTCACGTGCGTTAACATCCGATGATCGCGCGCGCTGTCATTGCACTCGAGACTATCATCGACCAGCTGAGCGATCTTTCCTCGGATTTTTATCAAGTTTAGAGAGTGCACTGCGAATCCTCCTCGCTTCACGCTGAGCATCTACTATCGCCTCGGTTTCCGGGAGAGTTCACCACTGCGAAATGTCACAGTGCTGTGCCCGTGAGAGTGCATAATGAGACCGAAGTTCTGGAAACGGTCTTCGCTCAGAAAAAATGCGCACCTGAGTTTCTCCGGCTGTGGCTTCCTCGGTATTTATCATGTGGGAGTCGCGAGCGCATTCCGAGAGTACGCGCCAGACATTGTCGCGAACAAAGTTGTCGGAGCGTCGTCTGGAGCGTTGACAGCTTGCTGTTTGGTGAACCGGTTGCCGTTCGATGTGGCTGTCACTTCCATTCTCCGAATGGCCACGCAATCCCGGCGCCGCGCTCTGGGACCATTCCATCCCACTTTCAATATCAACGATATCCTGTTCGAGGACCTGGAGAAAATGCTCCCGTCAGACGCCCACATCCGGAGTGATGGGAAACTGTTCATTTCTGTGACTAAGAGCTCATCATTGGAAAACCAAGTGATCAGCCGATACAGCACCCGCGAAGAACTAATCCTGACGTTGATGGCATCGTGTTTCATCCCGGTATTTTCCGGATACATACCGCCGAAGATACGCGGCGAAAGATTCATCGACGGAGGCTTCAGCTGTAACCTCAAAGTATTCGACGATAACACAATTACGGTATCTCCGTTCTCGGGCGAAAGCGACATCTGTCCGCGGGACGAGAGTTTCCAGTTGAGCTGCGTACAGATCTCAAACACTTCTCTGTCGGTGTCGCCGGCGAACCTCTACCGGATGCAGCGGATCCTCTTCGCTCCACATCCGGACGTGCTGGCGAGAATGTGCCAGCAGGGCTTCGACGATGCCATCAAATACCTCAGAAGACACCAACTCATATCTTGCGTTCGCTGCTTAGCTGTGGAGTCCACCTTGCTCCTTCCAGCTGTACAAACCCCTCATGAAGAGCATGAAACGAAGCACGGGACCGGTGGAGAGCGTGACGGAGACTGCGCGGAATGCGATGTCGTCAATCAGATAGCTCAGTTATCGTCTCTCCCTGAAAAGGTCCAGAAGCCCTGCAAGGACGCGGCCGAAGCGCTCGAGCGAAGCCTATACCACTGGCTGTTCAAAACACGAACCATGAAAACGGTCGCTCTCATCACGGCTCCGGTCCTCCTGCCGCTTGATATCGCCTATATAACACTGCGGAAGCTACGCGAAAGCTTCGCGCCGTTGAGAGCGCAGCTCAGAGAAACGATCTCGAGGACAATCTCTAGCAAACTCTTGGAATTGAAAAACGCCCTCGGATTGACCGAGTCCCGGGCCCAGATCGGCACCGGGTCGGGACATCTTTCGTACCAGCTGGCGATTCACGAATACGAATCTATCGAGCCCAGAAGAAGGGCATACACGATGGACACTTCGAAAGGCTCCAAAATAGCTCGAGCGAAACGGAAATCCTTCGCAGGTATCGAGAAACGACTCGTTTCAGAACTCAATCTCGGTTTTGCCGTGGATATGGAGGACGAAACAATGTCCAAAACTTCGACTCTCCTCAAGACGATGGATTCGACAGAAAATCTGCCGTCTGTCGCCGACGCGGTCTCCTTGACCAACGGAGCTCTGCAGAGAAATGCCCCTCAGAGTCGAGGCATCAACGCTATCGTGAATGTGACGAGACAGAAAGACCCGCTGATGAAGTTCTTCTACACCGACGACGAAACCAATAGTGTGCGAGTTACGGAGATCTTTGACCTCTCGAGAATATAGAACTGTATATCTGTTTGGAGGTCCACGTTTGGGTTAAATGAGTATCTAGCCTTCAGTACATGTCTTTTATTCATCTCTCTGATACGATACCTCCTCTTGGGATACCTCCCTCGAAGCTTCCCTCTGAATACCCCTAGTAGGTAGCCATTCCAGTGAGTCCAAGAATTCTCAGAACACCCTTGCTGCCGACACGGCGCCGGCGCGGTATCAAATGGAGCGCGGGATCACCGTGTGTCCCGGGATTCTGATACCTTCCACTCTCACTGATGCAAATACGTATGAATTCAGAAGTAGAGGGCAGAAAAACCTACTTCAGACTCGGGTGCTGGTGCTAGTTCGTGAGATAGTCCGATCGTGAGATGAGCCCTGATCGTATGTGCTGAGAACCCAGGGGCTTCTCCGAGCTCTTATCTCGGGTAAACCGCACAGCCGACCCGGGCTTCTCCGTGATTGTCCCGTTTCTGTGGTTGAAGGCCAGATAACCTGAGTGGGGTCGGGGCAAGAGAATTGCATCATCGACGGGTATATGGTCATTGATGGCTCTGGAGAGCCTGCTTCGGTTGATCCAGGCAACGATAGAGCCCGGAGACCGGTAGAGGGACCAGAAGAGAGCTTCTCCAATTTTCCCGCTTCGAGGAAAACCCACAGCAATTTCGGAATCTGCTGACGGGTTTGCCCGAGAAATAGAAACGCCCGAGAAATAGAAACCTCTGGAGAGCCTCGCGATAGCCTACAGAACGCTTCCGGCGGTACCTCGGAGTGGATTCCGCGGTGGAAGGTCAGGGAAGCTCATGATGATCTCGAATCCGGATTCATATACCGGATAACCGCTGCAGAAGGATAGATTTAGGAATCCATCTCTGAATGATCCAAGGTTTCGCGATTCACCGTCAAGACTCAAGACGTTGTCGATCGCTTCGCGCTCGATCTAAGGAGCTCAGCGACTCCAAGGAGCTATCTGACACATATCCACCGGAAATTTCATCATCCTCTCGACACATGCATGCTTGACGCCGAGAGCATCGTGTTTTCTACGGTACTGTACCTGCCAGCGGCTGAAATACGCCCCCAAGGCTGGATTCCACGCCGCTCCCAGGTGCGACGAGCTGACATGATCCATCCTTCAGCATACATAGATTAAGGAGGCCGCTTTCCTCACATAACGAAAACTCACCCAGGTAGCGCTCCTTGGGTGCTTCAATCTAGCGAATCCCGGACTGGTCGCATCAGAGGAGATCTCTCGGCTCTCGAGAGGATGAATTCCGTTCTCGAAAGAGGAAGGATTCCTCTCTCGTGGAGGTCGATGTGTTTCTACACGCGATCAGTTGAGCGAGATCTCCGAGCGGAGGCTGTTGGTCAGTCTGGACAACTACAAGATAGCATGAAAGAGGCCGCTGTGGGCGACTTCTCATGCTTTGGGAACGCTCTCAGAGCCTCTTCTCATTCCTATTCTTGAAACATTCCTCCCTTTCCATGGGGGTTATCATGTTTTCAAGGGCTTCCACCTGTCTCCCACGAGTGATCGGACGAATCGAGATCCTCGTAGACCAAGCTTTCTAGGCGCAGCTCCGGACCCGTCGGTGGGCGAGAAGCTGTAGTGAGAAGCACACATGCTGACGGACGACATGTTGACTTTACTGTCGCACCGTCGAGGAAGTCCTGAATTCCATCCCTGAGGCCCGCCGACGATTCAAGTGAGGGAATGAGCTAGGTTCCTCAATTGGGAATCAGGTAGGAGCAGGCGCGTATCCAGGACTTTTTTTTGGGGCGGGCACACGATGACT